GTAGGGAACGCTCTGCCGGACGCCGTAACCCTGGCGCATGCCCCCGACCCACTGGCCCTGGTATGTCCCTGCGGGGAGGAGACAAAAGGAAACGGAAGGGGAGGTCATGGCATCAAACTCCTCTGGGAGATCTTTGAAGCTTTGGGATGCCAGTCCCAGCTCCAGGATGGGGATTGCAATGTCAGGTTGTGGAGGGAAAATTGATTGGGTTCACGGAATTCACAGAATGACCAGGTTGGAAGAGACCTCAAGGATCATCGAGTCCAACCCAGCCCTGACACCTCAACTAAACCCTGGCACCTGGTGCCACATCCAGGCTTGGTTAAACACACTCAGAGATGATGACTCCACCACCTCCCCGTGCCACATCCAGGCTTTGTTAAACACACCCAGGGATGGGGACTCCACCACCTCCCTGGGCAGCCATTCCAGATTGCAGGCTTGCACTCCAGCTGCAGCATGAGGGTGTTAGAAACCATCCAGAAACTGCCCCTTGGATCAATCCCTCAAGGGAAAGGAGCAGGGCTGTGGAATGGGGGAATGGTTATCCAGGAGCACCCTGATCCTGTCCATGCTGCTGGCATCTCACAGTGGATGGATAATGTATAACAATACATTTATTTATACACACAGTCTTCATCCTGTGTGCTGGGGAAGGCAGCAGCTCCATGGAAATAAAGGCCTCACGGGGAGAGATCCATTTGGATATTCCCCTTGGAATTGTGCCCCTGTTGGAGCTCCTACATTTGTGTGGGCACTTCCTGGAGTTTTTTAACTGGTTGTTGGTGGCACCACACACACACAGGGCTCCACCACAGCACTGGGGACGGGGGGACAAGGAGCCCACCCACCCTGGGGGGCACAGCTGGGCCTCAGCACCCTCCCTGTGCTGGGGTGGGTGGTAATCTGCTCAGGGCTCCTAATCCCATCCCCTCCTGGAGGTTGGCACAGTTCCAGGCCTTATCCCAACCCGTTGAACTGCAGGGCTTGTTTTTATTCTTAGGTCAGCTTAATCTTCTCCAGAGCAGCTCGAGATGCAGTGATGCACTGTGAGCCCTGCTGGGGCAGGCTGAGGAGCCCGAGGGTGGCTCTGAGCTGGGCCCTGGAGCTGCTGGAATGCTGTGATTCCCTGAGGGTGGCTCTGAGCTGGGCTCTGGAGCTGCTGGAATGCTGTGATTCCCTCAGGAGGGCTCTGAGCTGGGCCCTGGAGCCGCTGGAATGCTGTGATTCCCTGAGGAGGGCTCTGAGCTGGGCCCTGGAGCTGCTGGAATGCTGTGATTCCCTCAGGAGGGCTCTGAGCTGGGCCCTGGAGCTGCTGGAATGCTGCAATTCCCTCAGGAGGGCTCTGAGCTGGGCCCTGGAGCTGCTGGAATGCTGTGATTCCTGCACATTCCTGGATGTGAAGAGCTGGGATGGGCACAGACAGGAGCTCACAGCAGTGGGACCTCCCTTTGTGCCAGCCCAGGGAGCTTTAAACAGACCTGCTGAAATAGTGAACCCTGCGTGAATGGGGCCAGTCCTACCCCAGCACTCCCTGAGGAATTTCCCTGCCCAGTTTTAGGGTTCAGAAGTGCAGAAGGGATTAGGGCTGGAGCAGCTCATGCTGAGCACAGGAGCTGCTTCCCCAGAGTGTGAAAACAGCACCTGGCCATATTCTGGGGTGTATTTTGGGGTGTATTTTGGGGTTCTTTAACTGTCTTTTACCTGCCAGTGCTTTGAACAAATCCCCCAGGATTTGAGCATCCTTCCCTGTGCTCCAATGGCATTACATTATTAGGGTGACAGCTTTGTGCACCCCAAAAAACCCCCAGGCCCAAGCTGGGGACCCCACAGAGCCTGCCCTGGAGAGGGGACGTGGGGAGGCAGGGGCAGGCAGGATTTACTGAGGGTTTATAGGATTAGCACCAGGATTAGGGCAGGGCAGGGAGAGGAGGTGGTGACAGGGAGAAGGATGGGGGACAGCCTGTGAGATGCAGCTCAGGGGACACAGCAGACATGTCCTGTGTGGGGTTTGAGCAGTGAGCCTGCCTTGTCCCCTGTGGTGTCCCCAAGGACGGGGAACAACCAGTGCCATGCACCCACAGCTCTCCCCAGGCCTGGGATGGTGCCTGTGGCAGGGGAGAGCCTGCCAAGGTGTCCCTGCATTCCCTGGGCACCTGGCAGCACCTCTCCTCCCTTTCTGCCTCCATCCCAGAGTATCTCAGCAGGACAATGGAAAGATTCCCTCTCAGAGCCCCAAATTCCCCTGACAGGGAGCCCCCAGGGTGTCCTCACACCGTGCTCCTGCTTCCCTGGGGATGGATTCAGGGGGTTTCAGGGTTTCAGGGAACGATGCCAGTGTGGGCAGGGGCACAGGGAGAACAGTTCCTGCATGAGATCCATCAGATCCCACCCTGCCCAAATCCTGATCTCCCTTTCCCTTGGTGAATCCCTTCACTCCAGCCCTGACAGGTCCCTCAGCCTCCTCATCTCCTGGCAAATGTGCAGCTGAAACCCCTACCTGGATTCAGCTGGAGCAGCTGGAGGATCACAGCCCTGTGCTGAGACCTGAGGGACTGGCAGGGAGCAGAACAAAGCTCTGTGGGCTGGAGCACTTGTGGTAAATTGGTGACCGCAGGTCCCAGTGCAGCCTGTGCCTGTCCCCAGCCAGGCTGAGGTGCTCAGGGTGCTGCCATCCCATCCCATCCCATCCCATCCCATCCCATCCCATCCCATCCCATCCCATCCCATCCCAGCCTGGCTCCCAACCTGCTCCTGGAATGGCACAGCTGCCAAGAGCAGTCTTGGCATCTCCTTGGCAAAGTGGATTTTCCAGCCACTCCATCCTGCTTTCCTCTCCCAGCACCTTGGAGCAACTCCCCAACCCCAGCTCTGCTTTTGAGGGTGTCATTCCTTCCCCTGCATGGATTATCCCCAGGGATGGCCTCAGAGGTCCCAGCTCTGTTTTTCTGGGTGTTATTCATTCCCCAGCATGGATTATCCCCAGGGATGGCCTCAGAGGCCACGCTTGTATCCTCAACAGCCACCAAGACATCTGGGCAGCTTCATGGCCACCAGCAGATCCAAGAGCTTCCTGTCAGGGATCTGAGCCCTTCCTCAGCCAGCAGAGCTCCTTCCTTCCGTGGCTCATGGTGTTTCAAACCCTGGATCTCCAGGATTTGGCCATGGATCATGGGAGCCACCTGATCTGCACTGCTGAGCCGCCTCCTCCATGAGCCCTGCTCAGCTCAACCTCTGCCCCAACATCTGCAGGTATCTGCACAAGGCTTGGTCTCACAAGGAGCCCAGAGCCTCCTTGTCCCTGCACAGGAGCCAGGATTTCACAATGTTCCCCCATTCCCCAGCTGCAGCTGCCCCAAGCTGGGGAATGGAAAGGGAAGGTGCAGCAGGAATCTGGCAAGGTGGGGCTGGGAGGGATGGAATGAGAATTTCTGACAGAACAGAATCTTCTGCTGAGGTGCTGAAGGGAGAATTCCAAGGATTTTGGTTGTGAGCACCTCACAGGGATGGGATGGGATGGGATGGGATGGGATGGGATGGGATGGGATGGGATGGGATGGGATGGGATGGGATGGGATGGGAGGCAGGGAGCAATCCAAAGCAATCCTGGACACAAACCCACTGTCCTGGCCACAGGAGAGCCAAAGCCTTCCTGATGGAGGAGAATCCTGGGGAGGAAAAGGTCCCAACCTCTTCCCTCAGCCATGCAGGGCACTCCTGTGGATGCCTCCAAGGTGGCACAAATATCCATCCCACTTCTGGGTGGTTCTTTTGCACTGGGCCAAAAGGACAAAGAGAGAGAAGAAAATCTTGGACGTGGAAAGTCAAGCTAAAGGTGAGGAAGTGGCCACTCCATGCTAAGCAGAGCTAAGGAGAGGGCACAGCCTGAGGCTAGGAGAAAACAACTGGAGTCATCCCAAAGGATGGATTGGAGAGAAAAACCCTATTTCAGAAATAACTGCTGAAGTGTGAGAAAGGGAATAGGCCCATGGGAAGGACATCCCCAAGGGGAGGATGGGGGGCTGCTCAGGTACGTGGGGTTTCCTCAGGCTTGAGGTGGGATCATGCACTTGGACATAAACCTGCTCCATGATGCTGGAAGGAGATAAAAGTAAGGATTTTTTTGGGTTGGAATGACTGCATTTGCTTTCCCCCTCTGCCCATACCCAAGATTTGGCACTTTGTAGTCACTGAGCCCTCTGGCCCCACTCCAGGAACACCATTAAGGAGAAGCTTCACAGCTGCTCCCAGGCTTTTCCCAAACCCACAGGGCTGGTTCTGTGTCCTGCAGGATGAACCCTTTGGCAAACACAGGGATAAAGCCCATGGGAGGTTTGCACAGCTCCTCATCTGGAGACACCCAGGCAGGAATTTGGGATGTTGTGAAGCACTTTGAGGGCAGCGTGCACACTGGTGTCATTATCACACAGAATAAGACAAATTCTTAATAACACAAATAATTCTCACAAATAATTCTTCTCAAATAACACAAATAGGGCAAAACACCCAGAATAATACAAATTTGGAAAAAAATTTGGACAAGTTTGGAAAAAATTCCTTCTCCATCCCTAGCTCTGAGCTAAAACCCAAGCCTGCTGGGTCAATATTCCAGGTTAGATAAAATCATCAGCAAAAGAGATGCAGCTTTCCAGCTTTGCCTGGAAAATGGGAGCAGGAGGCTGCAAAGGGCAGGAGCTCTGTCCCATCCTTGAGCTAGATCCTCCTGGAGCAGTGGCTGTGCTGGGCACCCCAAAATCCCCAGCTCCCCAAAATCCCAGGGATTTGAGGGACGTGGTCCAAACTGTCCCTCCAGTTTTCCAAGCCAAAGCAATTAGGTTTTACAAATTGCTGATTTATCTCACAGAGGATCCTTCCTGGCGTGCTCAGCCCCCCTCTTATCTGTGGCCTCTGCAGCATATTAATTAAAGATGTCCGATGGCAATAATTAGGCTGGGCTCTTGAATTCCAACCAGAGGAGGGAGTTTTTTACAGATATCCCCTTCCAGCTGCTCAGTGTCACAGAGCCCAGGAGGATTCACACACAAATCATCCCAGCAACACCCATCCC